AACTAGGTTTAAATACTTTATAAATTTAATAATTTTATTAATTTAGCTTGTAAGTTATTATGAATAGCTCCCATCAGCAATCACAGCATCTCCCACCACCTCCACTCCCCTCCTGGATAAACCAGGACTAATTTAATAATAAGTTACAATAAACACATTGTAAATCCCCCACTCCACCTTCCAACTCCCCAGCCGTATTTTTTTTCTCCTTGCCCTTTTACCACAGGGCACCACGGGAAGGGTCAGGGTGAGTTTTATCTGGGGGTGATGGAGAAGGGCCCCAAATTAGAGATAAAGACCACTGGGGCCGGCCCCAACTGCTATCGGCTCCATGCACGGGGCTGATATTTCATGTGCCGATATCCATGGGGAGAGCCCGGCCCTGGGATGCTGCAGTTGGGCTGATAGTGGAGAGGGTTGATTTGTGCTCAGAAAAGTCGATTTTCCTCCAAAACGGACCCCTGTTTTGGAGACTATTAGAATTTAATGCTGGGTCCCAACAGCATCGCCCAGGGGGTGTGAAAAATAACCTGTTGGATAACGTGACCTTTGAGGACCAGTGGCATTGCCTGGCCACCAAAACCTCCTTTGCCCTCGCTTGGCATTCCCAATCCCCAGGGAACAGGCTAGGGAGCAGCCGAGGTCGTTGGTAAAGCAAACATTAGTACATACCAGGGAAAAATTGGGTGAGAAGAGGCGGGCTGGTGTCCCATCAGATACTGGAGGGTTTGGATTTGCAGCCTGGGTTGTTCCCTGGGTGTTGCTCGCTCCGGGCAGACACGGCACAATCTTGCTCCGAGACCCTGGGGAATCCCCTGACTGTGCCAGATCCCACCAAATCACCAGAGAGGGTTTTGCAAGGATCGGGAGTGGCTGTGACTTGTCTCCAAGAGAGTCTTTCCCTGAGGAACACTAGCCCTGTGCCTGTTCCTGCAGCCCTTTCTCTTGGCTACAAAATTTGGGGGAAAATACAGTGATTTAGGGGAAGCAAGGAAGCGATGCCTGAGTGGAATTCCCACATTTCCATCATGAGGTGATGGATGAGCATCATGGTGATGCCTTGTGCACCCCAGAATCTGGTTTGGAGCCTCACCCACATGCTTTTGGGTTGGTTTTTGTTATTGTTATTATTATTACTATTATTATTATTGTGGTTTTATAATTGAAAGAGGGATTCAGTGCCAGCACAGGGATGAGGAGCTGGAAGGATGAATAAGGGATCCTTCATCCTTCTGCCTTTCTAGTGGAGCTGGGGACATCCCCCAGGATCCCCTGGCACAGCTGGGTACATCCCCTGGGTCCCCCCAGTGCTGAGGGGTGACACTCCAGAGCTAAGACTGAGCTTTGAGGTGCCTGAGAGGAGTTTTGGGATGTGAGGCCGCCCAGCTCCAGGCTCTGTCCTCACTCCCTGACTCCTGGAGCGTTCCTTGGACTCACCCTCTGCCCAAGGGGGACTTGGGGGACTTTTTATGTTTAAAAAAGAGAATCATGGAATTGTTTGGGTTGGAAGGACCTTAAAGCTTATCTTATTCCACCCCCCTACCACAGGCAGGGACACCTTCCACTAGGTTGCTCTAAACCCTGTCCAGCCTGGGCTTGAACACTTCCAGGGATGGGAATTGGGATAAGTTGGATGAAAATTTTTATTTAAGTATGTATTTAAAAGTAAAAATTGGAAGTTGGATGGGAGTGACAGCAAAGGTAGGTTTGTCCTCAGCCTGCATGTGTTCTTGATCCAGGACCTGCTTCCCACCATGGGAACTCTTCCTCCTCCTCCTCCTCCTCCTCCTCCTCTCTCTCCCTGCTCCAGAGCCGGTGGGAAAGTCTGTGGCTGTTGCTATTTTCTATCTGTTATCAAGGCCTCTTATCACTTTGCTCTTGTCTGCGTGCCGGCTCTTGGAGTGCCCAGGGTCTCACTCTTGGCAGCCTGGAAAAGTCCCCCCTCCTTCTTGATTCCCTATATTATTTTTCCTTTTATTTAATTTACCAGCTAAACACAAGGAATCAAGAAAAGCTTTATTGTTCCTATGCTGGGAGAACCTTAATTGGAGTGAAATGATCAAATCATTACCTGGATAACGATGGGTTTCCCTGGGAATGCGGACCCTCATCCCCAGCCTTGGTGACTTGGGCACATTGCCTCGGCTTCCTGCAGGTTTTTAGTCGCTGCAATTTTTTTTTTATTTTTTTTTTTGAGGAAAAAAAAAGAAGAAAAAAAGAGAAATCCTTCCTTGTTATCAATAAAAAAAGGCAGGAGAAGGAGGGAGGGAGAAGAGTTAATCGTTGAAGCAGAGTATCTTGGAAGGGAGCGTTTTTTGGCTCTTCCCCTCTCTGTAAAACCAGCCTCAGTAATTCAGTTTTAAAGCATGAAAAAAGGGAGTTGATGAAATTCCACTATCAGCACTGAACCAATATGCAAAATATCTCACCGAAAATCAAATAGCTATTATGTTTTCATTTCCATTTCAGCGTATTTGCTTAATGAAGAATAGACAGATCAGGCAAGCCGAGGGAGGCTGTGTGTGGTGATAACTGTGCAGGGCTTCCAGCAATCCCGGAGAAGTGACGCTCTGCTCCCTACTCCGCACTCCCTCTCCCTCACTTGCCTTTTTTTTTTTGCCTTTTTTCCTCCTTTTTTTTTGAGTCATCCAGTAGTTCGTTTAACCCGCGCGGCCCAGAGCGCCGGAGATGTATCCCTGGGGATTGGATGGGTGTGCTGGGAGTGGGATGTGCAGTGGGACAGGCTGAGTGCTGGGATGCATCCAGGGACCACGGTGACATGGTGCTGGGATGCTGTTGGCTGCCCATCATCCCTGTAGGCACTGGGTGACACCACAGTGCCCAAAGCTCAGGTTTTACACGGTTGGATTTATGTGGAGCATCCCCAGCTCCCTCCTGGTTGGGAATTGGTGTTTCAGGGTGGAATGTGTAATACATGCAGGGACCACAGTAACGGGGTGCTGGGATGTGGGATACATCATCCCTGTAGTCACCAGGTGACACTATGGTATTCAAACCTCTGTTGGATTTCTGTGGAGCATCCCCAACTCTCTCCTGTTTGAGGGTCAGTGTTTTGAGATGGGATGCAGGATGCATCCAGGGACCTGGTGACATGATTCCAGGATGCTGTTGGCTACCCGTCATCCCTGTAGGCACTGGGTGACACCACAGTGTCCTAACTCCAGTTGTTTTTATGTGGAGCATCCCCATCTCCCTCCTGTTTGGGGATGGACCTTTTGGGGTGGGATGTGGGATGTGTCCAGGGACCACAGTGCCATGATGCTGGGACTTTTTGCCTGTCCATCACTTCTGTAGGCACTTGGTGATGCCACAGTACCCAAACTCCAGGTTTTACACAGTTGGATTTATATGGATCATCCCCATCTCCTCCTGGTTTAGGATGGGTGTTTCGAGGTGGGATGTGGGTCATTCCAGGATGCATCCAGGGACTGTGGTGATGTAGTGCTGGGATTCTGCTGTCCACCCAGCATCCCTGTAGGCAGTTGGTGATTGGTACCCAGACCCATTCCCATCTCCCTTCAGGCTGGGGATCAATGTTTCAGGGTGGGATGTGGGTCATCCCGGGATGCATCCAGGAACGCAGTGACATGGTGCTGGGATGATGTTGGCTGGCCATCATCCCTGTAGGCACTGGGGGATGCCACGGTACCCAAACTCCAGCTGGACTTATTTGGAGCATCCCCATCTCCTGCAGGTTGGGGTTCAGTGTTTCAGAGTGGGGTGTGGGTCATCCAGGGAGGCATCCAGGGACCCATATAGTGACACAGTGCCAGGATGTTGGCTGCCCACCATCCCTGTAGGCAGTTGGCGATACCACAGCACCCAAACTCATCCCCATCCTCTTCCTGGTTGGGCCTCGTTGTTTCAGGGCAGGATGTGGCTGGTTTGGGCACCCTTGGGTGGGTGCCACACACCATCCCGGCCCCAGCCCTCCCTTCCCAGCCCCATACATCCCTCTCCAGCCCCATCCATCCCTCCCTGGCCAGGCTGGAGGTGCCAAGCCGCGGCACAGGCGAGCGTCGGGTTAACTTTATCAGAAGCCCAAGAGCCGTGAAGGCGTGAAAGAAGAAATTAGCCTAACAATGTTTCATTTACAGCGAGAGAAACGATTTGTTAGCTGGCGATTGTTTCTGAATATTATCAGAGCCTTTTTAATTGTGCTGGAACTGAAATTAGCAGAATTAGAATAAATTGCCTTCCCTTCTCCGGCAGCCTCTTTATTCACGCTCATTGTTGTCTGCTTTGTATAGATTATGGGCTCTTTGTTCTCCTGCTGTAAATATACATGCCTGGAGTCACGGAGAGCAGCTGAGGTCTGCAGACGGGGTGTCCCTGTGCCGATCCCGGTGCCGGCAGTGCCGGATAGGGCACCGGGCAGCCCCCGGCACTGCGGCGTCGCGTGGCGCGAGCCATGTGTGCTGCTGGTCTGGCCTTTCTTGGCTGGGGATGCTGCGTTGCCGTGGAAACGGCTGAGAGGGATGGCAGGGCTGGTGGGGTGTCCCCCACGTACACCCCCTTTGCACCTTGTCTGTACCCTCTGTGTCCCTGCAGCATCATCCCCCTTGTGTCACTGGGCAAGGGGTGTTGGGAACCGTTTCTGGGATCCCTTTCTGGGGCAGGTGACGGTGGGGTTTTGGGTGGGAGCGTGAGTGATACCACATCTGTGTGCCTGTAGTACGAGGGAACGCCACTCTTTTCCCAGGTGGGTGTGGGGCTGATTTCCCATGATGTCTGGGTGGGACCAGACATCCCTCAGGATACACCTGGAACAGAAGAGTGGCCACCTCTGCAAATCGACGAGGGACCCCAAGGACCTCAGGGATGGCCAGGCAGAGGGTTTCCCTTGCCTTCGCTTCTCATGATTTGCAGAGCTGCAGGGCATCTCCTGCTGGCCCCCAAGGCACTGGCATCCTAATTTCCCAACTGGGGGTCTTTTCCCTGTGGTTCTCCCCCCAACCACCCTCTCTGTGTCCTGACAGGTTCCCTGGCAGCGATGGAGGAAGGCGAGGACGGCCCAGTGGGGGAGAAGAGCCCATCGGAGAGGGACGGGGCCACCTCGGACCACGAGGGCTCTGCAGAGCACGACTCGTCCAGCCCCCCCAGCAGTGAAGGTGAGTGAGGGGACTCCTCATGGTGTCCCCACACCATGGGGACAGGCTCTGCCACCAGAGCAACCTGCTGGGCATGCTAGTGGCCTGGGCACCATCTCTGCTGGTGGGCAGGGTGGGAATTAACTAACGAAGTAGCCACCCACCCTGTGAAACTGGTGATTTAGTGAGGACTCCCCCCATGTCCTTGGGGTGCTCTGACACTCTGGGCACCCTTAGGACCCACTGGGAGCAGCACAGACCCCAAAGGCACTGTCAGTGACACAGATGGGCTGGGGGCACGGGGCCATGGCTCCTGCCTTCCTGCCCACGCTGCCGCCAAGCTGCCGCCGAGCCGAGCCGAGCTGTGCCGCACCCCAAAGGTGGCTGCGATTCAGGGCCGGGCTGAAACAGTCCCCAGATATCCTTTAAGTTCCTTCCTGTGGAGGTGGGGGCAAATCCCAATCAGTTAATGTTTGCAGTGCCCTTTGAGATAACCGCGCCAGGGCAAGGCTGCGCCGGCTCATGGAGCCACTGGGCCTCGGCACAGCCGCGGCTCCTGAAAAACCCCCGCTGCCTTCAGCTGGTGGTGTCCCCCAAAACCAAGGGAGCCAAGCCACGATGCACCAGGGAGCCACACCAGCACCCTGCTATTGGGGCAGGGAAGGACCCCGATATTTGAGGCAGGGAAGGGATCCCAATAACTGCGGCAGGGAAGGACCCCAGTAGCCAGGACACAGAGGAACCCCGGTATTTGAGGCAGGAATGGGACCTGGTTGCTGAGGCGAGGGCGGGCCAGGGCAGGGAAGGGACCCCAGGGGCTAGGACAGGGAGAGATCCCAATATTTAGGGCAGGGAAGGGACCCCAATAAGTGGGACAGGGAGGGACCCCGATATTTGAGGCAGAGAAGTGACCCCTGATAATTGGGGCAAGGAGAGACCCTGATATTCAGGGCAGGGAAGGGACCCCAATACCGAGGGCAGGGAAGGGATACTGATAGCTAAGGCAGGGAAGGGAGCCTGATAGCTGGACAGGGAGGAGACCCTGATCACTGGAGCAGGGAAGGGACCCCGATATCTGGAGTGGGGAGGTCTCCTGGCAAACTTTGCTCAGCAGCAGAGGAAGCAAGCGGCTCTTATCTGATGGGGGAGCCGGGCTGGGGGCTCGGAGCCGGGAGCTGGGGCGCGGAGCTGCACCTGGCACTGGCCTGCCTCGATAAAGAGGTGATAGCAGAGATAACGCCGAGCAGCAATAACGGCCACTAAAGCTTTCAGCGCGATGGATAAAAATCGATATGCCAGGCACTTTGATTTATAGCCAAAAATAATAGGACTTTTATACCCGGTGATTGATTTATTTGATGTTAATCATTCCGCTTATCACCTGTATTAATAATCTCCAATGCTGGTGACGTCACCCCTGGGCGTTCGCGGTGGCGCCGATCGATTGGGCTCCGTGCTGGTTATCCGCCCGGGACGCCAAGGCAAACATGTACTTTGGGCACTAATCTTCCACACTGTCATATGCAGATTGGCTTTATCAGCCCATCTCCAGCAGCAGTTAATGGAGAAAATAATTGTTATCAAGTTGCTATGAATACGCCACAAATAGAGCCGTGATGGGAGCGGGGCTGAGCCGGGTGACGTGGGACCGCAGCAGGATGAGAGGGAGGTGGCAGGTTTTTGGGAGGTGGGTTGGTAAATCCTTGGGGTGGATGTGAGGGTGGACTTGGCTGGGTCATCCCCAGGGGAGGTGAGGGTGTGGACACTGGGTGAACCCCTTCCCTGTGCTGATCCCAGTCCTGGGGTGTCACTGGTCCGATGGTCCCAATCCCCCCTGGGATACTGCCTCTGAAATTCCCTGCTTGTGACCTCCTGCCTTTCCCCTCCTGCTGCAGAGTCTAGAGACACTCCAGAGAGTCCAAAGGAGCCAGAAAAGCTAGATCCTGGAGAAAACCCACAGGAACTGGACACGTGGAATGGGCCAGGTGAGTCCCTGGTGTGCGGCCAGTCATCCCACTCTGTCCCAGTATCCTGACTGGATTGTGGGCTGGAGCAGCTCCCAAGCATTTGCCTCTTGCAAACACCAGTATGAGGAGGACTGGGAGCACTGGGAGCTGGGCAGGCTGCAAACAGCAGCACTTCTGCTGGAGAGGAGGTACAGGAGGTGGTTGTTCTCCTTCATGTCCCCAAGTTGCTGCTGGGACATTAAAACCCAAACTGGGAGCAGCAGGGATGCCATCCCCCAATCTGGCGTCACATTCGCTGGCACAGGGAGGGTTTGGACCCATCCTGCGTCACACCAGGGCACTCTGCAAGCCTCCTGGCAACCACAAGAGCGATGCTCGCGTGGTTTTGTGATGATTATCAAAACCCCAAGGAGCAAATTCAGCCTCTATCTCCCTGCCAGCATCTCCGTGCCGGGGCCGCTGGCACTGGGGCAGCCCGGCAAGGCCCGGCGTGCCCTGTGGGTACCCTGTGCCCTATCACCCCCTATCTCCAAACCCACAGGGTTACGGGGCTCTGCCGCTCAGATTCGCAGAATCACTGAGTATTTGGGGTTGGAAGGGACCTCTGGAGATCATCCTGTCCAAGGCAGGGGCACCTGGAGCAGGTGACACAGGAACACGTCCGGGTGGGTTTGGAATGTCTCCAGAGAGGGAGATTCTGCCCCCTCCCTTGGACAGCTGTTCCAGCACTCTGCCACACTCCATGGAAAGTTCTTCCTCGTTTTGAGATGGAACTTCCTGTGGTTTAGTTTATGGCCATTGCTCTTTGACTGGGGTTGTGGGTACCTGTCCATTGGGAATAGCTCCCAGCGGGTGGATGGGGATGGAACTGGGGACCTTGAAACCCCCAAGGGTGGATGTCCCAGATTTTGGACCCTGTTGGTGCTGCCCACACCCTACTCCTCCTTGGGCAGCTCCCGGCCAGGCGATGCCTGTAGTTGTAGTTTTGGAGCAGTGTGTTGGGAAGGGGCAACCCCGATACAGGGCAGTGATTGCCCTGCGGTGACGGATGCCACGGGAAGGTCTCAGTGTGTCCCCAGGGCAAACAGCCTCCGGTGTGGGCTGGGTGATGGAGGAGCCCTGGGAAGTGCCAGCTGCCAGCACACATACTCCGGCAGCTGCCGAAATCCCCACGGCCCAGCATGGAGCCCTGGCCCTGCTCCCCCTTCCCGCCCCATCCGAGGGGAAGCTCTCGCCGGCCCCGCTGATATCCTGGCCCTTCCTGCGTGCCGGGCAGGAAGGAGCTGCGAGGCCACCCCCGGCTCCTCCTTATCTGCTCCCCAGCCCTTTGCCCTCGGCACCGCCGTACTCCTGGTATCCCGGTGCAGGGAGGGGGGGGGCTGTGACACCAACCCCATGGGTGCCCCCATTCCCAGGGGGATCACCAAACCACGCAGCCCCTCATCCCAATAGCACCACCAGCTACAGGCTCCCAAAAGGAACCACAACGCCTCGGCTGTGGGCCCTGGTGCCTCCCTTCCCCCCTCCCCTCACCGAGTGGGTTATTTGCATTCTTTATGTAAAAGAGATTTTATTATCACCCTCTCCCAGCCCATCTCTATTCTGGTAATTGGAGTGGTATTAATTTCGGTGTGGCGGGGAGTTGATGGCGGTCCGGCGATGCCGCAGCGATAGGGTGTTCCTTTCGCACCAACCGCCGCGATAGCCCGTCTATCAGGAGCTCTGCAGGCTCTGCACTTATCAGGGATGGAGCTGGCGAAAAGGGAAACTCGGAGCAGCCTGAATTTTCTTTTTTATCTGGCAAGATCCGCCGTGTGTCAGCAATGGCAGCTGCGAAGATGCAACGTGCAGGGTGGGGGCCGGGGCTTCCTTTGTTCACCCTCCTGCCTTTCCCTGGTGATTTTTGGGGGGTCCCTGGGTCACTCCTGCTGTGGTTTGGTGGTCTGGGTCTCCCAAAGTGCTTTCCACTGTGCTGGAGGGGATGTGGCATTCCAGGAACTCACCACGGGGCTCCTTGGCCCCACATGCCAGGAGTGAGAAGGAGGGGTTTGGTTTATCTTTGAAATGACCTTGTTCCCTGGAGGGGGCTGCAGCTCGCCTGACCGATAGGCAAATTCCCAGGAGCTGGAGGCTCCAGTCCTCAACTTGGGAGCCTTTACAGATGTGCCACCGCTTCATCCAGGGTGCTGGGACACCCTGACTCAGTTCTGCTTCCCAACAGGATCCCAGGATGGAGCATGGACATCCTTTGTGCTCATTCTGTCCTCTAGTGGGACTGGAGACAGGATGTCCCTCCTCCCCAAATTCCCCCACACCATCCCACATTCCCCCAAACCATTCCCCACAGCCCTGCCAGCCATGCCTCAGGTTTCCATCTTTCCCACTCTTTTCTGTTTGTTCTGGAGCAGGGCCGGTAGCAGGAGCACCCACAGGCTCTGACTCCCATCCCGGGGCTGTCCCATCCCTACCCAGCCAACCTCACCAATTCCAGCCTGTTTTCCCAGGGAGATAAGATGAAAAGCTCCAACAAATTTCACATGAAGTTGGGGCAGGAATGGAGCAGAGCAGAGCCTCCATGAGGGACAGGCTGCTCAACCACATTACAAGCCACTGGAGAATCCCCACTGGGAGCTGCTGGGAGGCTGCACCCCCTGGGAACTCTGGATGGCTCTTGCCTTTCTACCAGGTGGGATGAAACTTTTTGCTTTTGTCCCTGTGGGAACACCATGGGCCTCTGATAGGGATGGGATGGAGGAGATGGGGCTTTTGCATTATACCCTCTGGCTGTGTCCCACCACCTTCCCAGGGGATTCCTCACCCCCTTCCCTACATCGGCTTCACTGTTTGGGCTCCACCTTGCTGAACCCCAACCTATGCTGCTGTCTTGCCTGTTTGGGCTTTATTTAATAATTAATTAATAATTATTAAATATTAATTTAATATTGATATTTACTCTGAACAGTAATGATGGCTCTGGGTTAATTACAGTGCCCAGCAGAGGCACCTCTCCTCACCCCCCACCCTCTGTATGGGGTATCGGGAGGACACAGACCAACTCCTAGTTTTTTTGGTGCATCTAATTAAAACTCCAGACTCCTTTTTTTACCCCTTTCCCCCCACCTCCCCCTTCCCTTCTCCTCCCTGTCCCCTTCAGTTGTGTTTATCTGCGCCACGTCTCCTGCTTCAATAATCTCCAGCTGCCCAGAGTTTGTCTGGAAACCTCAAGGTTTATTATCGGGGTGAGCAGGGCACAATGAGGGGGGACAGCTCGTCCGGGCGGGGGACACGGCCCCCGCCACATCTGCCCCATCACTCCCCCTTCCCCTCCACCCTGGTATGTGTGGGTGGGAAAAATTATTCCAGCTATTCCGTTTTATCGCTGGGAGCTGAGCAGCAGATAGTTGTGTTTGTGGTAGATTGCTGGGGGATGGGGGGAAGTTGGGATTCAGGGAATTAGCCCCCCAACCCTCCAAAATCAAGGGGTCCCCAGGACCCTGAAATCCCCCCCTGCCTGGCTTGTGTCCAGCAAAGGCATGTGCCAAAGGCAGAGGGATGTTTGGCATCAGGATGGGAATGATCCCAGCAGTGGTGGTGGCACCTGTCCTGGATTTGGGACATGAAAGGGGACCTGTCCCTGCTGGGGTCTGTTTCCACAAGTCCCTGCCCTCGCAGGATCTGGGGTTGTTGTAGGGTGGAGGGGACAGTTTGAGGACACTGATGGGGTGCAGGGAGGCTCGGACTGGCCTGGGGACATTGCGCAGTGGAAGGATGATCAGACTAGTTTGGGGACACTGCTGGGGTGGAGGGATGCTCAGTCTGTTTTGGGAATACTGGTAGTGTGGGGGATACTCAGGCTGTTTTGGGGACACTGACAATGTTGGAGAAATCCAGACCAGCCTTTCCCAGAGCCCGACAGGGACATCCCTGTGCCAGGCAATGCCAGAAGCTGTTGAGAGGTACAGGCAGTGTCCCCCTCTCTGTCCCCATCCTCCTTTGCATTTTCTCTTGGGAAGGAGAAAAATATCTTGCACTCTTGTGGTGAGAGCCTTGAGGGAGATGCTGCCAGACTTGTGGTGATTGACAGCTGTCAGTCACTCACTGCCTTGCTGCTCTGCCCTGGGTGGATCTGAAGTCTGGTGGGTTTTGGGGCTTGGGCCCCCCTCCTCTATCTGGGTACCCCTGGAGGTCCTCCCTTGCCCCCACAGGCACTTGGGGCTGTGACAGTGACCCCCCCCGTGGTCTCCTCCCCTTTTCCGGAGGGGATATCAACCCTCTGCATCGGCTCCAGGGGCCCCTTCACTCCCCTTCCTCCCTCTCTTGGCTTCCTGCCCCCCCCCGTGCCAACCCGACCTGCTGCCTGGCACCAGCCTGGGCAGGGCTGGGTGGTCCCAGGACAGAGCAGGGACAGTGGGTCCCTGGCACAGGGATCCTGCCACCCTGGCAGCCCCAGGGAAACCAGGAAGTTTTCCACCTTCCCATCTGTTCTGAATGCTTTCTGGTTTTTTCCCATTGTTTATTTCTGTCCCCCGCCCTGTGGGCATGAGTCCCATCTATTTCCTGGGATGGGGACTCCCTTGTGATGAGGACCCCTGGGGGGACAGGGAGCACCTTGGGGTGGCAGAACCTGGCAGTTTGAGACCCCTTGGGATGTGGTCTAGGAGTGGGTACAGAGCAGGGACAGATGGGCCCTGGCACAGGGGTCACACCACCAGGTGACCATCAGGAGAGAAGCCAGGAAGTTTCCCTCCCTCCCTCTCATCTTCCCTGAGCTTTTTCTAATTTTATTCCCAGTGTTTATGGGAACCTGCAGGCACAGGTCCCTTTTGTTTCCTGGGATGGGGACCTCCTTGTCATGAGAACTCCTGGGGATGGGGACTCCCTGGGGACAAGGACCCCTTGGGATGGGGACCCTCTGGAGACAGGGACACCCTTAGAGCTCCATCCCAACAAGGCACAGCAACACCCCAAACGCAAATGTCCCAGGGAGGCTTATCAGGCCGCATCCTGCTGGGGCAGGG